ATCACCCTGTATGATATGTGATTGGGGAAATCAACAAATTAAACAGCAATATTTGAATGGACTTTTTGGACCTTGAGATGCATTCTTAGAAATCAGCATGAACACAAATTAGTTTAAAGGTAGGAAGTTAAAGGATATTTCAACAAAAAACAGCATTACCACAATTTAAACACATTTTTGTCAAATATACAAGATTAACAAAAAAGATGACATAGTTAATGTTCTGTCTGCTAGGAAATCTCGCTCTGTCACTTTCATAGTATGTTTAAAAACACTCTTAACGCTTCATATTATTACTGGCAAGGCTACAGTATATTGAAAGATTGATGGTGTTTTTCTAAAAAGACACATTTGTACAAGTCACACTATGTTGAAGCTACTGATAAAAATAACAGTTTAAAAATTCATGAATGTAGCCTCAAGGTTAAACCACTGGCTTCACTCTGGGATAAACAGGTTTGCGGTTGACTAGTTTGACATTATAACATTTTGAGTAGAACATTTCTTCAGCCAACAATCACAGTCGATATGGAAACAGGACTATTAACAGAACAGTAAACCAATGAACATCCTAACCAGATTGATGCCTTGCTCTGATAATTGGCCATAATCTGATCATTATGTGCATGTAAACATAGCCATTGTCTGGTTCCATTTCCCTCCATTCATTTTGCAATGAATGCCGTAGGTAATCAAATCTGTAAAATTGGATCTAAATTGAGTCATGAGACAGCCATAATGCCCCAAATGCACACACGTGTGAGTCACAAGAAGAAACCACAAGAGCTGTTCTCCCTCAGAAACACTTTTCTGATAAAAACTGTTAAACTATTTCCCTAAGAAACAACTTTCTAGAGATGGTGTTTTGTTGACACCATGAAGTGAGATGTCCTGGGTGGGCCGACACCTTTTTCATAAATAAATTGAAAAGAAATAAAGCCAAACATTTTCCTTTTTATACTTCTGTTTGTGTACATATTACCAAACTAGATACAAAACATTGAGTTTTAGAGGCGCCTCATTTTTAATCTCTAAAGGCCCTGACACACCAGGCCGAAATCGGCCGTTTTCGTTAGTCGGACGACGAAGCGTGCCCTGTCGCCCAAACTCAATGTGATGTGTCCCGCACCGTCGGCCGTGACACGCCTTATTTGGCCTTTCATGGCCGACACACGGCCGATTCAACATGTTCCAACAGCCACAGGCAGTCGGACAAAGAAATCACTCTGATTGGCTGTTCAGCTAGCGAATCAGTGCATGAGAAGCGAAACGGTTGCTTGAGAATGTCTTCCACAAGCAACACTCCAATGGCTGATAGCTCCAGTACCGCACGAAACATGTTTTCGATGGACGAGAGTGAAAATGGAACGCACACGCTATTTGTTGTTTGTTTAGATCACGCAGTCTGTTCTTCTTCTCTGTCTTCCGGTTGTTGCCTCTTTTGAATGGCGAATACACACTACCGCCACCTGCTGGTAAGGAGAGTTATTGCCACTCACGCATGCGCAGTTCGTACGTGCTCGGCTGAAGTCTTTGCGGTGTGTTCCAGTGCGACACATGGCCAAGACGCAGGAGAACACGGCGACGCAACAGTCGGCGTCCGCGAGTTCTCTGGTGACTGCTTGGTGTGTCAGGGCCTTTAGTTACTCCCTGCTTCCCGTCTTATAGGCTATTCACCTCAGCAAGCATGACAGAGGCAGCAATCTTCTTACTTTTCAACAAGCAAGACAGTAAATCTTTCCCCAAAAATCGGACCTTGTTGTGGAAAGGATATAACCACCAAAGGGCCCATTGGAGGTGACTGAAGGGTCAAATCTTACTTGTGGCATAACCCTAACCCCGATTGGATTATAAAAGAAGAAAGTCCCATTTTACTAAGGCTTTCCGTGATAGATACATTTACACTCTCACAGCTTGCTGAATTACATTTCTGAGTGAAATACAGTACAATGGGAACGACAGAAATTGATGTGTTTCTTTCAGATGCCCAGTGTTTTGCAGAAGGAACACTATACATCACCAAAGCAACACATATTTTCAATACACTCGTGTGTGTAAACAGTTGAATTAACAAGTGTGTTGAAGGCTATTATAGTGTATATTCTTTATCACTCTGATATAATTATCCTGCGCGGCGCGTTGCAGACTTGCGAGAGTCGGAGGCTTTTATAGTTTAATCATCAATGTTTCCCAGCTGATATGTTTGTAGTTAAGATGAGATATTTCTCTGGGTCACACATCTAGCATGGGAGGAATGAGGGAGGACAGAAAGGATGGAGCGAGGGAGGGAGGGAGGGAGGGAGCGTGGAGAAAGATATAGGATGGAGAAGAAGATGAATCCCAAAGACTTTGCATCATACCTTCTCACGCTCACTCTCCTTTCCTATCTGCCTTCACAGCACACACCTACACCATTTTTCTACACTTACTAAGGCACTGCAGACTTTTGACATGTAGTAATTACACACACACACACACACACACACACACACACACACACACACACACACACACACACACACACCACACACACACACACACACATGTTTAAATTGCCAGATGAAAGAGCACATACATCAATGGGAGGACTGTGGAAGCACGTGTGTCACAGAGATAAAAGCATTATGCAACACATGCAAGCCTGTAACAACCCTTCATGTCATGTCAGCTATGAGGCACAATACACACACACACACACACACACACACACACACACACGCACACACACACACACACACACACACACACACACACAAACACACACACACAAACACACACACACACACACACACACAAACACACACACATACATACATACAATATACACACTTACAGGTCACATGGTATTAGGTGTGAAGGGACATTTAAGACATGCGAACAGGCAAAACGAATGTGACAGGACTGGGAGAATTGAAAATGGCCTGTAGGAATTTGCACATATGAAGAAAAGAGCTGAATTATAGAGTAAGACTTCATAAGGATGTCATTTATGATAATTTGGATTGAATATGTGAATGATTGTTTCCCATGCCAAGCCAAAGGTACATAGTGTAGACTAAATGAGAAGAATGTTAGATTGACAGGTAAGCAGGCCGGAAATAAAGATGTTTACTATTTTTATCTGGGATCTCAATCACATGCATAACCTGATTTTATGCTGACATGCTTTCTGAATAAGTAAGATGGCCCTCTCCAGCGTGTATGTCCTAGCTTACATGTCTATTCATTTTTCAAATCTTTAAATATCCAAGTCATTTCGGCACATTTGACCTTTTCCTGCGCTGATGTCCACTGACTGTGCAGAGATATTACAGGATGCAAGCCTCAGAGCTTAAAGTGAAGCGTGATTCTGTCAGAGCGGCATGGCATCTACTCTCCTATGTCACATCAGCCAGCAGTAAATAAAGTGAATAATGAGAAGTGAATCTCCTGGGATAATGTTAGGTCTTGTCTGCAATGACAGTTCCTACCACTCTGCGCTGTGCTATATGGAGAAACAACATATTTTTCGAGTCAGATTGAATAATTCTCTTCTTTTTTTTTAGGTGGTGAGATTCTCTGCGAGGTGACTGCTATCAAGAGTTGCTCATTGCACAGTGAAATGCCAAAAGATCCTCCTGGCCAAAACACTCTCTTTGAAGTTGTCACTAGAGAGAAGCCACCATGACACCTTCAAAGGGAGTGTGTATCACCTCAGGTTTTCTGTGGGACATTTAGGAATAGTGCTTCATACGGACATGGTGCAATTGTGGTCCTCCAGGCCTCCAAGGAGAAATCGAGGACCTGTCCTTTCATAATCATCATGATGCATGTTTCTGCAAGAATCAAAAGGCCAGTGGTAGTGAAGGTACTAAGGTTTCTGCATTTGATCTCAACAGGGGCTCAAAGAAATGTTGGACAATTATACCTCTACAAGAATAGCAAGACATTTGCAAAGCAGGATAGAAAGAAAAATAACCTGATTTCTTCTTTTATTCTTGCAGTTGTTTCAAAAGTGCAAGTGTTTTAATTTAATCTCTTCGCCTCTAATTGTCGAACCACTTCATTTAAAAAAATAAATAATAATAAAATGTGCACAGAAACTGAGAAATGTTCCTGTGATTGGTTTCGACCTTGAGTTTAAATGGTGTTTAGGAATAATCCTGATTATTAAATTGTGATTATTATAATATTTTGTTATCGTTCAGGATTATTTCTAACTTGATTTATCCTACTTGTTAATGTGTTTTAATGTATAACCCTGTCCAAAGGTTTTTGAGACTGTCACACCCAATTACAATTGCATGTTCAATTCACTACCCTGGAAGTTAATAAAGTTGTTAAAGTTGGAACAGCCTGTGGACAGCCGTTCTTCCTCGCACGTCAGTCGCCGACAACTTCTTACAGAGGACAGGAGAATCTAGCTAGATCACGACCCGTATATTCTCAACAGACTGTACTCTTTGCATATTAATGATGTTTTCTCCTGGAAAACAAAGGTTTAGACTTTTTAACCTTTTTTTAAATGTCCTTACTGTATATTGCTTCAGCTCACTTATAAATGTGGTCACATAAGACTTCCTTTGAATAAGACACGTACCTCTAGTTGAAATGTAACTTTGAAGTCAAGGTTCAAGGTTCTTTATTTGTCATACGAACATAGCTACAGTGTAGTTATGCCGATGAAAATCTTGTGTCACAGGCTTCTCCAACAGAGCAACACAAAACACAGATAAACAGAACAAATATAGTGCTAGTAAATAGTCATACAAAAAGAAAAATAGTTTTAAAAAGTGAAATAGTGCAATAAGAGTCTATATGCAAGTTATTGAAATAGGATATATTGGTCAAATGTAGTGTTATGCTTATTTATTCATAAACTTTTTCAATGTGTAGGTACAATGTTAACACACAACAAACACATTTGTTATTATTCAGTATAAACCATAACAACATTGTAACCATAGCCCATATGTGTTTATTTTAATTAATGCTAGAGGAAAAGAAAGCCACCTGCCATGTTTTCTAGTTCTGGCAACTGCCACAGTTTAATGACCTCAAAGGACACACAGCTTATATCGTGAAACAAAATCAACCTCCCTTTTCTTTTCATACGAGGAATTTAGGGATAAATTCTTTTGCAGGGAGGAATATAGAAGGCAGAGGCACAACAACTACAAAAGCGGGCAAATCTCTAGTATTCTAATCCCTGTGTATGACAGTGGTTTTCAAATCATTCCTACAATGAAATCCTCCTCCTGTCTGTCTTTGGGAAGAAAAATCTATAAAACCGCCTGCTTAGCCTGAGGAGCGGAGCGGTGCCAACAAATTCCAGGCTTCCATCATCACACACAAACACACACAACCTAAAACAAGACAACTCTCAGTAAAAAAGCACACAGGGTCCTAGCTGCAGGCTCTACAACAGCTGAATACCCCCCTCCCTCCATGACAGTGATGTGTGTGAGAGAAAGACAGAATGAAAAACAGAGAGAGAGACACAGAGAGGGCAAGGAAGAAACAAAAGAAAGTGATATGAAGAGAGAGTGTGAGGAAGTGTGTGTTATGTAAACCCCAGGTGATGCTTGTTGTCCTGGATAGAAGAATCACCAGGGGGACGAGTGCTCCAGCTCAGCAGCTCTCTCCACACCTCGCTCTCAAACACACCCACGAGCAGGAGTCAGAGAGAAGTAAATAAATAAAAGAGGACAGAGGAAATGTGGGAATAGACATAAAATTATTGAGGGTGGAGGGTGGGCAAGAAAAAGAGGACGATGAAGAGAAAATAGATGCAGGAGAGGCGAAGGAAGAGAGAAGTGAAATGTATTAAATATCCATTTCAGAAATGTCAGTGTATCGTTTCGGGAAGCACAAACACTCCACCTTCAGCTGGTTGTTGTTCAGTCCTGTGCAGCTCAGGAGGGGATGAATGATTTCCCCCCTGTGCTGTGTTTTGTGTTTTATCTGTTTACTGGCTCGTCCTCTGTACCAGTAACTGTCCACAATGAGCGCAATTATGGGAAGGGCCTTCCAGGATACATCTGCATACATCACACACATTTCCACACCCACACTAACATGGCTCCCCGAGGGGCCACTGTCGATAACATCCTGTACTCTGCACCTGATGCATGGGGGGGGTCGTGTTTGTGCTGAAACAGCAGGAAACATCCTCTGCAGAGATGCTTTATGGTCCCTGTCGGGCTGCTGAGTGAGGATGGGCTTCACTGTTCCAAATCTTGACCTGTACAACTGCTGTGGAAATCCCAACTCTGACCCCAGATCAGCACTTAAGACGAGGCTGTGGGAATAGGAAACAGCCAACGGGGGTCCAGATCCGGAGCAACACTGCCCCCTAATGGTTCAGGAGTGGAGGTGTGTCTGGTAGAGATGACGTAAGGCCGGGCTGTGTGAGTGTGTGTGGTGATGCAGTAAAAATATAAAATGTGTAAACTATCAGCAGACATGTTCATTCAATAATTGGATATTTTGTGTCATGTTCAATCAAACTAAATAAATAAATTCACCCCAAATAGAAATAGGAAAATGTTAAAATGACCCTTTAAAAGTGAAAAAGATTATCCTTACTTCAAACAACAGTGGTACATCACATATTACTTAAAATCTGTGTGGATAAAGATATACAGTTGGAATGAGCATGTAGGGCATTTTAAATTGGCTTGGTAAATTGGAAATACATTTGCTTTGCAATTCAAATACACCCTTAAAGCTATTGATGCTGAAGCAATAACATTTGGTCAATACACAGGGAGGGAAGATGCTACCACGGCGCCTGAAGGCAGCATGGCTCGAGGCAGATCTGCTCACTAACAACCCCCAGTAGGCAGAGAGCAGTGGAGCAGCACGGAGATGTATCCATTCAGAGCGACTCAGGAAACACTGGAGCCTAATGCAGACATCGCAATCCTTATTATCCAGAATTTACAGTAGCCTATGTCACTGCTGTCATGAAACTCCCATTAACATATGTCTGTAACTGAGGACCGAACATAAAATATACAATCTTGGAAACAACAACAACTTCTGTTTTTAGGTTATTCTGGGTAGTTTTACTGATCTGCGCCATTTGCTATATTTTACTTCCAAGCTGAATTGAAAGAAATGTAGTTTTTGCAGAAGTTTCTTTGATGTGCAGTGAAACACAGCAGGGACTGTTCATTGTGTGAATTCAAAAAGTCACAGTGGGACATAAACTTGTGGGTGGAATCCCCCATAATGCAAAACAAAGTTTTATTTTTTCACTAAAGCTTTTAGTGGGAAGAAATTGCTTGTACACCGCTGCGTTTGATTGAATGGTGCAAGGCCTATAATCTGAAGTGATTTGTTCTCACGCAATGTGGATAATTCTGTCCTTCTGACACTTCATCCGTCTTTACTTCAGTAACACTGTCAGATAAGAATGATGAGTTCCAATATGTTTAAAATCAACAACAAAATAATCAGATAAAAGGAAAATGTACAGTTATGAAAATCTGAAATGATTGAACAGATTTATGTGCACCCTAGTGTGTAAAATAAGATTATAATTAATTATTCACATCTCTCCACACCTAAACCCATTTTATTATTTTCCCCATTTCATTTGAAGCAGTTGCAAGGTAGGGCACCATATGCTTAAGAGTTAACAAATTACATATTTGCCCTTTGAGAACCCGTCTGCTTTGTGTCGAAATAACATTTTCCGTATCCGCTCTCGCTGGTTGACATTTTGGGCTCAGGGAACCAGAGCAATCAGGACTGGATTGATAATATGATGTAATGCTTGAAGTGAAATAAGGAATAGAAAGATAAAATAATTTCAGAAATATGGAAATGACCTTTACTATCATCAGGCTGTATACTCGAACTGTGACTGTAATCAGAGCTACGGCCTGTTTTCCGGGTAATCGGAAAGATTGTTCTGTATACTGAATGGACTGGCGCACTGAGATCAATGAAACAACTCTTAAAACCATTGAGTCTTATTTAAGAAACCAAATGACCACTTATATCAAATCGAGCTGAAAAGGCTTTTCTGAGCTTCTCCAGCTTTACTTGAATTTGGATTTGTGTGAGGCTGAAATGAAAAGTGTTAAATCTGATTTGTAGATTTACTATGTTGAATTATGTCCACATTTCACAATTTATACCTCAAGGTCTTGAAAGTTTTATGTTTCTACACTTCATCTTCCCTTTATGTCTAAGAGGGACAAAGCACAATGTCTGGTGACCTTTGGAATACGTGACAAAATGAAAGGGTCGGTTCACCTAATTCACTTTTTGACTTCACCTGTATCGCTTTCTGTTAAAGAATGTTGGTCAATAAACTCTTCTCAGCATACTTCATTGAATATCTGGAAATATAAGTTGTTACTGAGTTTTCTTTATTACATTTTTCATTGAGCAGTAATTAAACTAACATGTTCTCACTGCCATTCGGGCGGCCACAGAGGTTTTCTGAGGCTGATATTTCAGATATTAGTGGTGACTGGTAAACATTCCAAGGCATATTGGTAAACTGACTTCTATAGAAATAAGTACAAACATGTTTATTGCATGTAAAAAAATGTATATATTAAAAATGGTTTAATGACTTATAATATGGCTGTATCTTGCTCAAGTTACTCAGGAAGCCACTTCAGTTTGCATGCTTCAAAACGTATTCAGAACTCAAGAAAGTTGCCCGTTTTTTGTTTATTTTCTGTTGACTGACTGTACCAGATGTTTAGCTGACAGTGACAGCTGCTGAAACTAAATAAGCGCGTCCTGCTACCTGCTTCACCTAACTCAAAATAAAGCTGATGAGTTCTTGTTCTGCAAAAAAAAACGAATATGGTTACAATCTCAAAATCTCTGAGGCCTTTTTAAGCACTACAAACTACATTTAGACTTTACAGTTCTCATTTTCCTGCATCCCCAGGGGCATCTAAAACGTTATTGATTTTGTTGTGCTATTCATACAGTAATCTCATATGACCCTCACCAGTCGTTCTTGCATTGTAAAATGAAAGTCCTTGTTTACTGTATAGAGTTTCTTCAGGAGCATTCAAGGGCAGTGGACACATGATAGGTCTGTGTCTTCATCCTCCGCTTCATCTCTCTTATCATCTGACATACAGCCAGAGGGTAACAGCAACACACTGCGGTCCAGTCCTCACACACACTGCCCTGTGAATTAACATGCAGACAGGCAAACACAAGCATGCAAAAAACAAACACAGGAAGCACACATGCAGAGACAACAACATAGCAGGAAAACACCCGGAACCATGAGATGCATATATGAAAATACGTAAAAAAGTAAGAAGTAATATTATTGAATCTTTTCTGTACTCTCCTGGTAGGTATTGGTTTTCCATATATTGTGAAGTATTAAAGGTCACCTATTATGCAAAATCCACTTGTTCATGTCTTTTATACATACATACATGTGTCCCGTCTTTGAGAGTTTCTGAAAGTTTCAGGAACAAAGATTCTCTCTCTTTTTGTCCTGATCCATTTATATAAAAACCTGTCTGAAAATGAGCTGATCAGATTTTGGCCACTTTATGATGTCATAACGATTTTTTGGCTTGTGTAACCATTAGCCAATAACCAACCAAGGTAACCGCCCCCACCTTATCACCTGAATCTCCTCCTAGAGCACCATTGTGTTATTTTTAACCGAATATCTTGCAGAAGGGCGTGGGGAGTGGCTCCTTATTTCATCTAAAGTAACAGACCCAGAATCAGCGCTTTTGAAACAGGGCTGAAACAGAGGGGTTTATGGGATGCTACAATGATCTGTTTGGTATTTCGAGCCAAACACTTCAGAGACATGTTTTTTATATATCTGAGACCTATAATATATTGATGAAAAAGAGTATAATAGGGGACCTTTAAATAGGAGTTATCAGTGGGTATCAGTGTTATGGATATGGTTAAGAAGGGGCCTACTTCACCCACTGTGCAAACATTCATATTGATCTTTTGCCTGGTAGGTGCAGTTTAGAAATATAGGTGATAACAACTGATAATGGTTATTAAATAGGCTGATAGAAGAACACACTCACCCGTATCTTATAGCGCTCTCTGATCCCAACTCGCATGGCAAAAGTGGATCCTGGCAGCAGAGGAATACACAGACACTCGCCATAATGATGAGCTAAACTCAGGTCCAAACAGCACGGCACCAGAGCCCCGAGGACACCTGCAAGCATAGATTAGCACAATATGTGTGTTTGCTTGTGACATGACAAAAATCCGCTTTAAAAGAAATGTGAGACAAAACTAAGAGTGAATTAATTGTGATTTGTTGGTTCCTAATTGCTGAGAAAGTCGTAAAGCTCTGATCCGTGTGTAGGACCCTGCGTATATGAGAATACAGCTTCTGTCTGTGTTTTCACTTTACATGTAGTCTTGTCTCCACAGACGTTGAACAGGCCGGTGCTCCAGCCCCCACCCGTCTGTGTGATGGTGGTGATGGTTGTCGTGGTAATGCCGAGGCCGGGCTGTGTGAGTATTGGGTCTGTAAATGCATAGATATTGCTTGACTCCAAGTCATCTTGACTTCCTGTGGTGAAGCCCCCCTCTTCCTCCTCTTGAAGCGCTGATGCTGAGGCGTCTGTGACTGAGAGCCTCGGTCTGAAATTAGATTTTTACATGTCTTTATATAGATGTTTGAACAATGTCCCCCCAGCTTATCAAGCCTTTAACTGTTGCTAAACCAAAGGCTCAATGCTAAACTAGTCCCAAAGTAGAACATTTTTACTTACCTGTGAGCAGAAATTTCATGAATTTAATTCACTCATTCAGCCAGTTTAATTTTCTTAGAAGAGCAATTCATTTTTTTATTCAGCTGGCTTTCTTTAAAAATGTTCAGCAGCATGGCCCCACAATTTTACTCGAATGCCACTGATATTATCGTATCACTTTATATGATACAGCATTTATTCATGAATTTGAGTGATTAAGGCCTTCAGCAACACTTCAATCACTGCACATTTTTAAGTTTGTGGAAATAATAGATTAAAGAAATGTTCCTGTTTAGTTAGAAGCATGTAAAAGCAGAGTAAGTTAAGTGAGCTGTTTGCTGTAATTCCATTGCGGTCAAAAAAAAAAACCACTTACTGGTGTGTGACTGTCGTCTGCTCCATGACTAAAAGCTCCTGGCATTCAGAGAGGGGTGAGGCGAGGAGGCGAGAAAGGAGAGGGTGAGCAGGGAGTCAGCAGGAATGAGGAGGAGGAGGGGGCTGCGGAGTGACACTTCCTCAGTGAGAGGGTGTGTGGCTCAGATAAACCAGCTGTCGGATGGCTCGGCCAGAAGCTGTGTGACAGAGATAAGTCTTGTCTCCCGTCTGCGACTTTACCCGCCCGCCTGCTAATACAGCTAATGCCAAAAGGGCAGATAGACATCAGGGTGCATGAACATACACGTGTGGCATTATATTATCAGATGTAAAATGCATTCATGAACATAAAATAAACACACCAGCAGCTCTGAATATGCCGAAAACATTGAAAAAAAGTACCATGATTACTTACAACATAAAAAAACAGTTAACTTCTAAAATAAGGACACAAATACAAATAAATTTGACATAAGCACATTTTGTTATGGATGTCCAACATTATCTCAAACTCATTAAACAATTCAAACTGTTTGTTTGACCTATAGATTTAAAAACATTGTTTTAATTAAATATATCTAAAAAGGCGTACGGTTACACTTACCTTTAAGACAGAAAGAGACTCATGCAGTGAAGAGCTGGGAAGTGAAAGACGTGTTGAACGCAGAAGTGATTTTGTGTGTCTGACTGTGTGTATGTGTGTGTGTGTGTGTGTGTGTGTGTGTGTGTGTGTGTGTGTGTGTGTGTGAAACAGAAAGAGAGAAGTGGGGGGAGATTTACGTGGTGTAAGGACATGTAGTGAAACTATTTTCTAGAAATAGGTGTCTGAGGAGGCACAGAGAGTTTACTCACATATTGAGTGGTTTAGGAGAAACATTTAGTACATTAAATGTGGATGCTTAATTCTTATCTATTTCAGAAAGATTAAAATGTATGAGTGACATGTTTGAGTATACTATGCATCACAGAAAGTAAACAACCATAAACAAAACATAACAGTTTTATTGGATCTTTGAAATGTAAGGGAAACTTTTCTTAAATGTTTTATTATTGGCAGTTATTTAGTGATCCATTTGATGATCACTCTTTTGAGCTACAATTAAAAAAAAAAGGTATTTAGTCAGATTTGTAAAAATGAACGATCACATTTACACACATCAAACTGCACTGCAGTAGTGGATGATTACATTAACTTAAGTAGCCTACTCTGTACTTGAGCTAATGGTTTAGTATATTATAGTATTTTTGATGCCGATACATTTGTAGTTTTACTTAAGATTCGGAATGCAGGACTTTTACTTGTGACAAAGTACTTTTGTCAAATGTAGTCAAATGTAGTGCTTCTACTTAAAGGTGGGGTAGGTAAGTTTGAGAAACCGGCTCGAGATACACTTTTTGTTATATTCCATGGAATGCTCTTAACATCCCGATAGCAATGAATATCTTAAGTGCTTTGACAAAAAATCCATAAATGTCATCTGTGGAAGCCGTAATACTGTAAAAAGTACGACCAATCATTTTAGCCGACCCGGCTAAAATAACTGGATGGCCTACCTGCCTGTCAGCCTTCCACCTGTGCACAAACTTATCTCGTGCCCTCATTGGTCATGTGCGCGTTCGTGTGTGTTGCATGGATGTATAATAAGAACGTGTGTTGGAGGAGAGGCTCTATAAGGAAGTGGCAGATTTTCTCCGGTTGTGTATTTTCAAATTCTAGCGATCTCGAGCCGGTTTCTCAAACTTACCTACCCCACCTTTAAGTGTCAAATCTGAGTAGTAGGCTACTCCTTCCACCACTGAAACATGCATGAATTCACTTACCTGCAAGTTGAGCTCTAACAAGCAACATGTTTTACACGAACCATGTGAGTCTTCAACATTTGGTTTGAACTCTCACCCCGATTAAAGAAAAGGCTTAAACGTTTTAAACACGCGCATATTTACCTACCGTAGTAAACTCGTAGATGTGTTGATGTCCCGGATCAGTTGCCCAGCAACAACTCGAGACCGACCGAGATGCTGGTCGAAAAATATCGCGTTATTTCGTTCAATGAATCCATGTTTTTATACTTCTGGTTTTGCACGGATTAAAACACACTACACATACTAGAGGGTATTACTTTTTTAATTTGAGAGATGCTTGTAGGCAGGTTAGCTGTTTCCAATGCAGACTTTATATCCAGTTGAGTTTAGCAGCTAGTGATGCTTACACCACCAGACATGTGGATAGCATCAATCTTCTCATCTAATAGGCTACTCAGCAAAGCTAATACGTTTATCTGCCTCACTGATGTATTTTCTCCTTGAGTTTCTTGACCCAAACAGCTTTGCTAATATTTGTATTCAACTGGAGAAGTTATTGGCCACATCTGTTTAAGATTGCTTGTTGGGGTTGTTTATACTGCATTCTACAAGATTATTCACACTTTCTACACGTGGCCACGATCCAATGGCTTCACCAGATGCATGACACATGTCATATTCTAACAGTTGACTTATTATGTTCTTGAAAAATATAAAACAGCACAAAGAAGATAACGATAAACAATGAACACACTGAGGCTGAATATTTCATAGGTTTTATTATTTCTCTGGAAAGCAAGAGTGAGATAAACACCATCCACCACTAGAAAATTGGAAAGCTGTGTGACAGGTTGACAGAACATGAGGGAATGATATGCCTCAATGTCAATTTATAAAACAACACAGCAGACGCATTACCATCTATATGAATATAACAGGCATTCAGGAGCATGTGGGAGCAGTCTCACGCTGTAATAAAATAAAAGTGGATGGCCATGGCATGATAGTACACGGTGGTATGTTTTCTCAACACCTTTAGAAAAAACATTTTCATTATAAAAGATAGTTGATCACTTATTGTCAGTCATATAAACATGACAAAGAATGGCCTACAGAGAGAAATATGACGAAATGTACCTTGAACCAACAATGAAAAGACGGAACAGAACACAAATTCTGGTGTTAATCTCCCATGTCAAATTCTTAAGGGAAAGATAAGTCTATTTTTAAGATTATATTTGCTTCTTCAACCCACCAAATAACCTTATTGAGTTACTGAAAACCTGATAGTCTGGGGATTTATCAGGGAAATATTGTATTACAGATCCTCCACCATCTCCATTTTGTGCAGACCAAACCCACATCTGAATGTAAAGTAACTATGTGTTCTTGTTAAGCGAAGTTTTAAGGTCCCATTGGTTTAGGATAATTCCTTAGGTCACATTCAGCAGTGAAAAGGTTCAAACTATGAACATCTTTGTATCTGTGAAACCTAACACCACGTGCATCTAGCAAATGATACAGTACAGAAACATGAATAATTAAACATACATAGGCTATATGTTTGAGTCAGTGTTTTATGGCTTACCCATTTTGTGGCAACATTTCCTGATGCCTTTAAACCTTTAACAAATCATTCACTGCTGAATGTGCCTGCATGTGTTTGGGAGAGAGTGAATTTGACTTTAATTAACCAGATAAATCAGAGAGTCTCCGATGTCAACAGTCAGGCCATTGTCAGCGAGAGTGACCTTTTTCTCCTGCAGATTGACATTGAACACTGATTTGTTGGAGACGGGCAGTTTGCCCTGCTCCTCTTGTCCCAGGATGGGCACCTGGCGGGGCCCCTGCACCGGATCCTCGTACCTCATCAACTTGACTTAATACAGCTAATGCCAAAAGGGCAGATAGACATCAGGGTGCATGAACATACACGTGTGGCATTATATTATCAGATGTAAAATGCATTCATGAACATAAAATAAACACACCAGCAGCTCTGAATATGCCGAAAACATTGAAAAAAAGTACCATGATTACTTACAACATAAAAAAACAGTTAACTTCTAAAATAAGGACACAAATACAAATAAATTTGACATAAGCACATTTTGTTATGGATGTCCAACATTATCTCAAACTCATTAAACAATTCAAACTGTTTGTTTGACCTATAGATTTAAAAACATTGTTTTAATTAAATATATCTAAAAAGGCGTACGGTTACACTTACCTTTAAGACAGAAAGAGACTCATGCAGTGAAGAGCTGGGAAGTGAAAGACGTGTTGAACGCAGAAGTGATTTTGTGTGTCTGACTGTGTGTGTGTGTGTGTGTGTGTGTGTGTGTGTGTGTGTGTGTGTGTGTGAAACAGAAAGAGAGAAGTGGGGGGAGATTTACGTGGTGTAAGGACATGTAGTGAAACTATTTTCTAGAAATAGGTGTCTGAGGAGGCACAGAGAGTTTACTCACATATTGAGTGGTTTAGGAGAAACATTTAGTACATTAAATGTGGATGCTTTTATCTTATCTATTTCAGAAAGATTAAAATGTATGAGTGACATGTTTGAGTATACTATGCATCACAGAAAGTAAACAACCATAAACAAAACATAACAGTTTTATTGGATCTTTGAAATGTAAGGGAAACTTTTCTTAAATGTTTTATTATTGGCAGTTATTTAGTGATCCATTTGATGATCACTCTTTTGAGCTACAATTAAAAAAAAAGGTATTTAGTCAGATTTGTAAAAATGAACGATCACATTTACACACATCAAACTGCACTGCAGTAGTGGATGATTACATTAACTTAAGTAGCCTACTCTGTACTTGAGCTAATGGTTTAGTATATTATAGTATTTTTGATGCCGATACATTTGTAGTTTTACTTAAGATTCGGAATGCAGGACTTTTACTTGTGACAAAGTACTTTTGTCAAATGTAGTCAAATGTAGTGCTTCTACTTAAAGGTGGGGTAGGTAAGTTTGAGAAACCGGCTCGAGATACACTTTTTGTTATATTCCATGGAATGCTCTTAACATCCCGATAGCAATGAATATCTTAAGTGCTTTGACAAAAAATCCATAAATGTCATCTGTGGAAGCCGTAATACTGTAAAAAGTACGACCAATCATTTTAGCCGACCCGGCTAAAATAACTGGATGGCCTACCTGCCTGTCAGCCTTCCACCTGTGCACAAACTTATCTCGTGCCCTCATTGGTCATGTGCGCGTTCGTGTGTGTTGCATGGATGTATAATAAGAACGTGTGTTGGAGGAGAGGCTCTATAAGGAAGTGGCAGATTTTCTCCGGTTGTGTATTTTCAAATTCTAGCGATCTGGAGCCGGTTTCTCAAATTTACCTACCCCACCTTTAAGTGTCAAATCTGAGTAGTAGGCTACTCCTTCCACCACTGAAACATGCATGAATTCACTTACCTGCAAGTTGAGCTCTAACAAGCAACATGTTTTACACGAACCATGTGAGTCTTCAACATTTGGTTTGAACTCTCACCCCGATTAAAGAAAAGGCTTAAACGTTTTAAACACGCGCATATTTACCTACCGTAGTAAACTCGTAGATGTGTTGATGTCCCGGATCAGTTGCCCAGCAACAACTCGAGACCGACCGAGATGCTGGTCGAAAAATATCGCGTTATTTCGTTCAATGAATCCATGTTTTTATACTTCTGGTTTTGCACGGATTAAAACAACACTACACATACTAGAGGGTATTACTTTTTTAATTTGAGAGATGCTTGTAGGCAGGTTAGCTGTTTCCAATGCAGACTTTATATCCAGTTGAGTTTAGCAGCTAGTGATGCTTACACCACCAGACATGTGGATAGCATCAATCTTCTCATCTAATAGGCTACTCAGCAAAGCTAATACGTTTATCTGCCTCACTG